GAGGAGGAGGAGGAGGCGGCGGCGGCGGAGGCGGCGGAGGAGGCGGAGGAGGAGGTCGCGGTGGAGGAATAGACGGTGGCGCGGTGCCTGCTGCAGCACCACCGACCGTCGGCCATTACCACCACCACCACCACCATCACCATCACCATTATCATCACCTCGTCACCACGACCACCACCACTGGCGTCACCAGGCACCTCAGGCACAAGCTACCCCTCGGCAAGCAGTGCCTCGAACACCGTCATCAGCACCGGCATCACCATCGGTCCCCCTATCGGACCTTAAACATGGGCCAAAAGATTTCAGGTTAGGACCATGATGATGACTCGATGACGATGATGATCATTTCTCCCGTTTTTGTCGCGAATTAAGGTACGGTCCAATTGCCCGACGATTAGCAGAGTGTCGTTTCAGAATAGCCTGGTACGATGGTGGTTGTTTGTCGAGTCTATTTTTCAAACACGATGCAAAATAACGTTGGTTGTGGTTGTTTCACGTGACGAGTAGATATAATCGAGTAGGTGGAATCCGCGTAGCCTAAAGATGCGTTTAGACTAGGCTAGTGGACAGGCAACCAAGCAAGTGTAAGTTAGTCTGGAAATCATACGCGTGCTACTTGCCTGGTTGGGTACTGAACTGCACCCCTAGTCTGAAAGCATTTTTAAGTTTTGTTACCAGTTCAAAGGCAAGAATATAGACAGGTAAGCAAACGTATAGCTTCGAGGAACAAGAGTCTACTAGATAGTCTACTAGAAAATAGCCAGATCTTTCTTCATTTTAAATACTTGCCCAGCCAACTTTTCACTTATTATCCTATCTTTTCGTAGGCAAATCAATCTCGAAACTTTTTATCGATCTCGAATACGTCAAGTATCTTTTGAGTATACGCAAGGTTTCGTCAGAATTAGTTAGCCTTTTTCATTTAGAGACAAAAAAGCACAAAGTGTTTAGAGGTTACGACCGAAAAAAGAAACTAATGAATATTACAGTCCTTACTGCAAGTGCAGTCACGTCACACGATACAGCGCTCGCGAGATTAACTTTAGAAGGTTGATTCACCTCGTCGAGCTTCGTCCAGGGTCAAGGCCTTTGAATGCTCTCGATCTTACCTGCTCGTTCAGGTAGAAGCTCGAACAGGTCCTTCAGACTATCCTCTGGCGAGGAACGTGCTGCAGCGAAACCGTAGTCTTATAAATCGTCCCATCAACTTTTTTTTTAAACAACCTTCCTTCGCTCCAAAACGATAGGGTTCTTATTATAATAGCAACGCGAGGCAAGAAATAGAAAGTTTGGATTGAAAATTGGGACGATCGAAGCGTTAGTTTATCGACTGCTGTGATGACCAGCGAAAATTGCCTATTCAAATTATGGAATATTTAAATTAAAAAGTGAAAAATCAAGTTTGAATACAAAATTGGAAAATTATAGCACCTTTCAGTAACATGAGTCGTGTATAATTTACAGATCATGTAAATTTTCTTCTCGTAGAAGTAGTAGGCTATGCATCGTAAATGCATTAACATTTTGACCGTGACAGCTAACGCATTAATTTCATCGATCGTTCGTCCCGTTCCACTCGACACTTTCTCACGACTTAGCTGGCCATTTGCCCGCTTCCGGAGGTGCATTCTCGATAACGCGACCCTGTGCGACGTTCCGTTCTCCGCAGTCAAACTTTTTGGAAAAATTTGTCATGCTGCAATCGCGGCCGATTCGCGGTTCAGCTGCGACCGTAAAATTTACGAGTCTCGGGTGTATCGTAAAAGGGACATAAAAAACGCGGCCCAGGTCCCGAAACCCGCAGGAAGGAGAACGGTGTCGGACAAGGTCGAAAAAAAGCAACCACGAACGTGTCGAACCCGAAGGAAAGACCCGGAGGGTCGACGCAGACCGGATACAAGCAGGACCCGTGAAAGGGCCCTTCTTAACCAATGCCCTTCGGCTTTTCGGCCAGGAGAGACCCTTTGAAATCCTCGCGGTCCTTTCCAGAACCCTCGTTTCAGAACCCTCTCGAACGCTAGCGGCGGGTAACAGCTGCCAGAGCAAATAAACCCAATATCCAAGGATATCGTCCTGTGTTCGCTCGACCCTTGAATGAAAGAACCAAGACGCACTGTGTTTCGAACAATGTATAGTAGCTGGACAGAAGCCAAAATTTCGGTTTATTTCAGAAGTCTCCCATACGCATTCTCCATAAGAAGTTACTACGTCATTTCTAACTTAGAACTTTCGAAATACTAGGTAGTAAACGTACATCGAATTTGGATGATTTTAAGCTCGTTATACTATCGCTTGTGTTTGTGACAGTGGCCGTAAACAATAAAGAAAGAACTCCCTTAATTTTCACGTCTCGAAGCGGCGCTAAGGGACGTAGGAAAGTTCTTTTTGTTCCTGATAAATATTTAACGAGTTAGGAAAAAACATTTATTCTCGTGAAGAATACGAAGCTGACGAACACGGGAGCGAGGTTTTGTCCAGCTATCCCCTGTCTCTCGAAACACTTTGAGATCCTTCGAAAACCTTAAGCCCGAGCCTGCTGCGGCCAGGGATGGGTCGAGACGAGTCGGACCCTTCATTATTTTTCTTCCAGTCTTTTTTCCCTGTTCCACGGCAAATCTTCCCCACAGTGTTAGTGCGTAGCTGGCAGGTATCCGACCGCACGATGAATCCCTCAGACGCATCCTGAATTATTAACGACCGCGTGGAAATTTAGCCTAAAGGGAGACTCGGCGATCCTCGACAGGGATCATGGATCCTCAAGGTTCCGTTGTAGATGGATCGACTTCTTAGAGTTATATTGCGCGTCCACTCGGACGTAAAAGTCACGCGATACTTTTACAGGAATTTATCCTGGTGTATTCCCTAGGCCCTTCAAAGACAGCTTGTAACCTGACGCGTAAATTTGACAGAGGTTATCTTGGTTTCTGCAGGCGGTGTGAAAAGCGTGACACGCGAGGCTGCAGCTGGAACTGTCGGTGGAGTCAGCGTCGGCGGTGGCGGCGTCGTAGCATATAAACCCGTGGTACCCAGAGAACTGGCGCAACACTTTGCAAGGCCACCACGGCTCGATGTCCTGTTCGACATGCCACCCGCCTCGCGGGAGATGCAGATTCATCACAGCTGGAACGCCAACGATCGTAGCCTCAACATATTTGTCAAGGTACGTCCTTAAACTCACCTCTAAATTGCTAACAAGAACACTTGTCCTTTGACGGCGATAGGAGATCGGATATCGTTATCGAGAAGTTAAAAAGCGTTTTCAACTTCACAGGATGATGACAAATTAACGTTTCACCGACATCCCGTTGCCCAGAGCACAGATTGCATAAGGGGGAGAGTGGGATACACGAAAGGTATGCACGTATGGGAGTTGTTTTGGAGCACGAGGCAAAGAGGCACCCACGCCGTGGTGGGCGTCGCGACGGCAGAGGCACCACTTCACAGCGTCGGCTATCAGAGCCTGGTCGGTAACAACGAACAGAGCTGGGGTTGGGATCTCGGTAGGAATAAGCTTCTTCACGATTCGAAGAACAATACCGGTATCACGTATCCGGCCCTACTCAAACCCGACGAAACGTTCATCGTTCCTGACAAATTCCTTGGTAAGCCTCTATCGACATCGAACCCATTTGCGACGCACTCGAAACCCTCTCTAAACAAAGCTACTCTTCGGGGCCTGTGACTGACGCGAACCTCGTATTCTGTTTCAGTGGTTCTGGACATGGACGAAGGTACGTTAGCGTTCGTCGTAGATGGCCAGTACCTCGGTGTCGCGTTCAAAGGACTGAGGGGCAAGAAACTACACCCTATTGTTTCTGCCGTGTGGGGACACTGCGAAATCACGATGAAGTACATCGGTGGACTTGATCGTAAGTATCGGTGGAAGATTAATTTCGCGTTGAAACTCTAACCGCTTTCGTAACCGTTAACCAAAGTCGTTATTGTCGTCGCGAGGTTTTACCCCGTGCACTAAAGATCGTAAGTGATGTAACGATCGCGCGTTTGTTTTCAGCCGAACCTCTGCCCCTCATGGACCTCTGTCGAAGAGTAATACGGAAACGAATCGGCAAGGAGAAGATAGAAGAGAAAGTGAACGCATTGAGCCTACCGTTAGCATTGAAAACTTATCTCCTGTATCGTGACAGGAGGTAACCACCGAATGGTGTCTCGAAGGAAAGCACCACGATCGCGATTGTGAACACCACCGCGCTATTATTATACCGTTGCCACCACGACGCACAGGGGAACGCCCGCTACCCCGTCGCCAGCCACCGAGCACAACAGCCCATAAGCCGCTTCTACGATCTATGGTGTTTGTATCCGTGTCGTCAGGATAAATCGAGACGAGCAACGACGGCAACACGATCCGTAACTTGGTCGATCGGTACCTTGTCCTCGTGTTCGTGTTCGTTAACCTCGTCGTCATCGTTGGCATGGTCATCGTCGTCGTCGTTGTCGTTGTCATGTTCATTATCGCCGTTGTCATCGTCGTTGTTGTTAATAACCTGATCGTTTTTCGTCGTTGTCGTTCTTGGATACGATCGAACGACGTTTACACACGGGGACAAGAAAGAAAGAACATAAACGCGGAACACACGCACGAGCCGGTCATATATGTATATTGTATATCGGGTCTAGATAATTATTTAGGTGATATTGTTGTCTTGTGTTAAAACGTCTTGCACGATAAAAATCGTGACGAAGTCTTTATTGATTGTTAAATAATTGAAGCAGAGGGCGGTACTCGTACGCGATCGGGGTATCATCTCTTTTTTTTTTTTTCTAGTTTGATAGCTTTTTCGCTCGACGCTGGCTTGTCTGTCTGTCTGTTTTCTCTTTTGAATCGTTGGGAAAGGAACATGTTCTGCGTGTGGAAAAAGACCGACGAGAAGTCGAGGATCTAGATTTAATACGGGCTAGAGAATACGTACGTGGCTCGAGCGAAAGATGAAGTGACCACGAGAAGAAGAACCAACGAACAGCGCTTCAAACAGTTGGCCAGTAAAACACGTTAGACTTTAGTCGGAGTCTGAAGGCTGATACGGGCAACGTTTCGATTATTAGTCAAAGAAAATGGGTAGCGGGCTCGCTCTAGTCCGGCCACTGCGCGAATAATTACGAAGACGATGAACAGCAGCAACAACAAGATAAACGAACGACGTATTTGGAACAAAGAAGAATCGTCGAAGCGGACATTTGTCGAAGAGAAGAATGTGTACAGTGACGTGAAAGCCAGCCGAATCGAACAGCCACCTTCCAATAGACTCATTTTTCAAGTATTTTCTAAGCATGCGAGGTTTAACGAAAAGTAGTAGTGGTGTGTATGAATCGTGGACGGACACGATAATCGAACGAAAGGGGAGAACTTCGAGGTGATTCGTTTCTTCCTTTTTCTTTTTCTTTTCGTTCTAAAGCCCGCAAAGAATACGTATCATAGCTACAAACGAAACGACGGTTTAACAAAAATCACGATGAATTCGAAGGGTTCGAATTTGAGCAGCGAGAGACAAACATGAATTACCTCGAATTATGTTAATTGAAAACGATCAAAACGAAGATTAGACGTACGTAGTTAAACTTTAGGGCGAGCGAACGAACGAACGAACGAACACGGGGCATATGGCTGAGAATATTCCACACACGAATTAAAACTGTCGACGGAGGGAAAAGAAAAGGCTGCGACACAGTGTATATGTGTGTGTGCGCACGCGTATTATTCGATGCGAACTACGGCGACGATCCAGACGATCATTACCGAGAATGATAATGATGATGATAATGGTGATTGAATGATAATGATGATAGCAAACGATTATAAACGGGCGTGTTGCTACCTATAACTATTAGCATGACAAATTATGACTGGTCCCTAGTAACTCTTTAATCTTACGTTTGTCGCTTAAGTTTAATGATAATGTGCCGATATCGGCGATGTCGATTTGTACATAGGGTATAATTATAATAATGATAATAATAATTATAATAATAATAATAATAATAATAATAATAATATCTATCGGTACAACAATGAATGTATTGTGGGTAGTGATTGTATCCAAGACCGTAAGGACGAACCGAATGCGAGAAAAAAGAAAAAACAGTTCTATCGTCGTGCAAACGCAAAAGCAAAAACACTGTCATATTTTTCTGATCTTTTAAGTTTCTTGCATGATACCACGCATTGTTGTTCATTCTCCTCGACCGGGTTCCAACCGGGACTCGCATCAAGAACGCGTCTTCCAAATTGCCTGATCGGACACACACATACACACAGACACATAGTTGCTCCGTATTAAAAGCTAGATTTTCTTTCGAACGAATCATAGCTACAGTTTAAGAATCAGTTTCGTAGCCATTCCCAACAAAATAAAAACAAGCGCGATCTCGCAATCGGCTGCCATCGCAAGCATCTTGCGGTCCTCAATACTACGCACACCCAATTGCTGTCTGTTAGCAATGTTCGCCTTCGTAATATTTGCTTCGAGACGAGAAGCAAAGCGAAGAGCAAAATTGGCGACGAATCAACGGAGGAGAAGGAGATACGAGCGAACGAACGAGCGCCGCGAGCGTGCGAAGCCGATCGAGCGGAAACGAATGCTTCCTTCGCGCCGTCGATGCTCGTCGTCGAAACGATTCGAAATTAACGTCGCCACGGTAGACGATTACCGTGCGTATTTTATCGCGAATCGACGTTCGTTCTCGTCGCGAGAAGCTGCGAGAAGCCCCTCTTGTTTGCTAAATAAAACAGAGAGAAGGAAGCGAGCTCTTCTCGATTGCGTTAAGAAAGAGAAAAAACGTGTTTCTGGATAGAAGTAAACGGACAAAGCACATAAATAAGAGAGTAAATCGTATTAAAGATAAAGAAAACCACACCACACACATACACACTTGTAGAAAAGATACATACGAAGTACACTTTGTGGACGCGCGTTTTGAAACGAAGGAGAGGAAGAAAGGAAGAAAGGAAGAAAGCGAGCTTTCACAGGCACAGAAAAGATGTTTCTTTCCTTTTGCTGTGAGATACGCTTTTCATCAACTGCTATCGTCGTGTGCTGTAACTATTCTCTATTTTATTGTAATACGAATGATTTTTTTTGTTTCTTTTTTCTTCGTGCACCTGCCACGTTCCGAGCATGAGACAAGGACAAAAAAAGAGTACATAGCGTATAGAATGTTGTATATATTATTAATTAATGATTAATATTAATATTATTATTATTATATCGGCTCGATAGTTTAATTGATTAATGTCGTGTTAGTCGACATAATTGTGGATTCAGTTTTTTCTACGATAGGGAAGACGATCTATATTATACAATTACGCGATCGATCGATTGACTGGATTTGGATCGTGACAAACGGTTTATCCACCTACCTATTCTCGTGTTAGAATTTTTTTATTTAAATCGCACCGATACTTCGATCGGTCACGATGCTAATAAAGCGAATCGAAAGCAAAAAGAAACGTGTTTTAATATCGGCGCGCGTTAATTTTTTTTAAACGTCGTTTTATCTCGTCTAGTATATAATTTGTTTTTTTATTTTCAAAGAGTTTCTTGTTTTGTTTTACCCTCTTGATTTTTTATTTGACTTGTCTCTGTCATTACGTGAATATCTTCGCACGTGAAATTGTTTGTTTCATTGTATCTGAACGACGCTTTTTCGGGTCGAGTCTGTTTTAATGTATAACTTGACACGAGGATCGATCGGTCCAAAGACGCGACCGAGTTTCACTCGATCAACATGTTTTTATAATCGAATTTATTTGTATTTCGTGGACGCTTTAAATTCTTTTATCTGTTCGAACCGACAAGCTTTTTAGTTTCATTTCTCGATTGAAACTTTCCACTTGTTACCTCTTCAAATTATTATAATATTGATGTTACTTGGAATTTTTTTAGTTACTCGATTATATTAGAACCTTCCGTCATGTTTTTATAGTTATAGAGTTTAATTTTTGTCGTCATTAGTTTATTACAATATTACTATGTGGACCAATATCGGTCCCCGCAATATTTAACACGATATAACCTATTGTTGGGTATAACGAAGAATAGAAAATTGCGAAAATGATTTTCTGAAATTAGCGGACGTTAATTATTACGGTATTGGACGCGTCAATCATACAGCTCCGATCACTAGATCGATCGATCGATCGTGCTACACGAAAAGTACAGGAAAAGCCTTTTTGCTCATTGTCATTGAATGCTGCGACGTTCGATTCGTTCGCATCTGTCGCGAGAAGCATTTGAAGCGTTTCGAAATGTTTTTCGCGAACCGACTGCCTGTTGTGCAAAAACTACGTTGCCTCGACAAATGTGTCTAATTTATTGACGACGCGATAATTATCAGGACCTTTAAACTGCGTGCAAGTGATAACCGAATGATAACCGCGTGCGTGTGCATGTGCGTGCGTGTGCGTGTGTCGACAAGGGAATGCGAGTGAAGAGAAGAGAGACAGAGAGAGAGAAATTTGGTACACCGGGTGGTCTTCGATAGAATTCGTTCTTTCTCGATTCTTTTACGTTTTGCGAACTTAGCTGAAATTTTAGAGAGAACGCGACAATCGTGTCCGTTCGACGGAGGACGAAGTTAACGAAAGACCACTTCCGGGAGGTCCGGCTTCGCGAGCGTGTCTCACGCGACTTTCTTCTTTTCCTCTTGTGTATTTTGTTTCTCTGACGGAAAAAAAAACATAAAAATAAGCCTGGACTATTTGCAACGAGCGATCTCACGTCTATTTAAGCATAAGTTTACGAGTTTAGCGTGGTGTATTTGCTGTATAGCGGCGAGTGAACGCGAAGAAAATTTATAAATATGTAATGCCTTAATGTTCTATCGATAAATAATGGATAGCGTTACTGTATAATTAGTTGTGACGCGAATAAAAAGAAAATGGAAACGACACGATAGGATTCAAGAGAAAGAAACGACGGTAGAGTATGTTGACGAGGAACGAAGCAGGCATACATTGGAAAGACGTATATGACAGACAGAACAAGATTTAAAAAAAGAGGAGCGCTGTAGGTGGTGACCGTTTGTCTCCATTCTGTTCGTGATTTGATATTTTTTTATAATTCAAACGACGAGAGAGAACGACTGGAGAGATGGAGCGAGTATAAATGGAGCGTGTATAGAGAGCGGACTGCTATCTTAAAATAGTTCAGGCTAGATGTCGATGTTTGTAGCAGATAAAGGAAAAAAAAACACAGCATATTGTAATTAAAATTAAAAGTCATTAATACCGGTCGCTTTTTTATTCGTCCACCAAAATTCCAATTTCCTCTACACTTCCATCTTTGAAAGGCAAAACATTTTTCCACATTTTAGTTTCACCATTTATATTTTTAAAATAGCTAGTTGTTAGTGTAGATTGAAAAACTAATTAGTAATAAAAGATCGAATTTATGAATTGAATAGGATGGGATACAATAGACTCTCGTTATACTGCTACATTTCGCACCGATCTCGGAACACATTTACCCTATGTATTGTATTGACAAGACGATGCATTTGCCATATGTCGCGTAACATTGTGTTGTGTTCACCATGTACTGCGTGACATGGTAATGCATTGTTCTCATCAAGCGTTAAATCCACGCATCTATCTTCGTTTGTGGTAATGTAACTAAAGTGTACCGTCCATTCGACCATATTTCCGTAGTCCATTTTATTGTTTAACAGTTATTTTTCTTTCCAATTTTACTCATTCTTTGCGTGGATTTTGCAACGATCCCGTCTGTCGACAATCCTTCAAAGGAGGTTGATCACAATCCCTGTAAAGTACTTCGCAATTCTCTCCGCGTATCCCAGCCTCTCCGGCGTCCTCCACCAGACGATCCCAACCGGAAGTTGATCTCAGAGATTTTCCAACGCTCCGTCTACAACATCGCGCAAACGATTCAGTATAGAATACGCTTGTTCTTACGCAAGGAAGAAGGATTTTTAATATTCCAACGTCGCGTGCAAATGACGTTTCCGGAAATAAGAGGCAGACACGTTCGAGTGTCTGATCCAGATTCCATTTCTCGCCAGACGCCGCTCGGAGGAATATTAAATTTTCAGGAGTCGTCGCGACGGGGTGCAATAAAAAAATGGAACTCACGTTAAGTACTTTGCCAGTACTTTACCAGCCGCACCAAATGCTTTTAACAGCTTTCGATTTTCCAGACAGACTGTCCTCTGTATGCAACGTATCCTGGCATCCTCGTTGAGGACTTCCTCCTGTTCCTGTGTCTGAAAGCAGAAGATCGTGGATGTACAAGCAGATTCGAGGCGTTACAAACTGTCTTCTTGATAGTTCATGTTTATCGCTGTGTGCCCCGAGGAAGCATCGTATGACATACAGCGCACCGTTGTCGCACAAGTACTGGTGCACTCAGGTGCAACGGAAGCTTCATTTGACTAACATCTTACCACAGAATTATAGCCATAAGCTGTGTAGAGCTCTCTCTTCCTCCTGGCCGATAACACATCCGTCAAGTCCCTCCTCTTCACGGTCGCGATCGTATTCTGAATTACGGCGAACAGCAATAACAAACCGATGAAGCTAACGATTATGAGCTGCTTGGAGGTTGGTCCAACGGGATAATCGATAGAATGCGCCACAGGATATCCGAAATAAGGATGATCGTACACGTAAGGCACGCTGTCGCTTCTGTGATGAATGAATGTCCTTTGAGGTACTGGAAATTATAACGTCGTTACGAACAATTTCTCCTCCTTTGATTATGGCTCCGAGACGAGGAACTTTACCGGGAAGATAATGATTGGTTGGTGGAGGCGGATGATGCAATATGGGTTCTGGAGGCCGCGTCATTTCCGGTCGAAGGGTAGACTCTATTTTGCTCGATGATTCCGTAGCAGAAGCGTTCCCAACGAACTGGTACTGAGCCTCGATCGAATTAATCAATATACTCAACACTGGCAAAACTTTTGTTATCGAAGAAAACATATTTGTTTTTTACTTATATCACTTGTATTTTACGTAGACGTTCACTGTGTACGTTTCAACGAAAAACGGATGAATTATGGTGCTCGACTGACGGATGGTGGATGGCGTACAGCGATCTTAAGAAGGTCGAGGAAAGAATAGCTTCGTGACGTTGGCAATTCGATCCTAAACGAACCGGTGAAAAATGTGCCGGCAATTTCGAGAATTGCAGCCCATCATTCGGCTCGCTGAGCTACGGCTTCACGGTGAAAACGCCATGCTTTTTATTCTCCTAAGTAACCATCGCACACTATATGCTCCCTGTAATGGCTACCCACGACTCGTGAAAGAATCTTCCATTTTACGATGTGATTCTGTACAAGGTGAAACGAAGTCAGCGATTTCTACCTTTCTTTTTGCTATATTAAATACAGTCACAGTTATACCGATTGATACACATTGTACTTACATAACCCATTACATTGCATTTCAAACGTTATAACCTGTTTAATCCGACGCGTTGCGATACAACATACGTATTTAACATACGATTCCAAATAAATAAGTGGTAGCAATTAGTTAAAAGAAACGAAAAAACGTTTCGTAAGTGGGAGATAAAACTCTGTAGAGTACAATAGCATCTAGCACGCAGGTGTACGCGCCGGGGAAACAAAGGGTTGCCTGATTTCTGGTACAAAGGGAGGAAAAAAGAGGAAGCGTGTTTGATGTAAATGTTCGAACAACGAACAACGTTGGGAGGTGGGTAAATCGGTTGGTTAGGCTGGTTGCTGAATCCAAGGGGTTGCTATGGCGATGGGACGGTCGAGGGCTGTTGCTAGAGGGTTCGTCTGTCTGGAGCCCTTCTAAAGGGGATGATGTTCTTCGCTCTGTCTGTCTGGCTAGCAACCAGTCAGCTGTTTCATTGCCCTGCGATTTCCTTGTTGAACCTTCTTAAAGCCAAGCTGCTTTGCAGTCATAAGCAATCTTTAATTTTAGCCAAAAGTAATTTGCCAGCTACCTTTTCATCTTTTCGTGTTTACGAATTCGAAAGTATCATAAATATTTATACACGGTTCGCTTTATTGCTTTTTAACTGATTTTTTTATTAAAACAACTTTTATATCGTACGCTGAAGGAAGTGTTAATTCAATCGTCGAACATACGAGGAGTGTCGATTTTGACACCCGGATAAGATATTACGCTATAAATTTTATTGGTTTAAAAATTACGAGTCGGAGCTCGGCTATGAAATCGAAATCAGTTTAAGAACTGGTTTCTCAGAAATTTATAGACACTAATTCTCTGTTCTCTTTTATACGATCCTCGGAATGATTAATTAAAGTAACTCGCACCGTAGCAAAGCTTCGGTGTTCCATGACTATCGATACGAGGAATTTTTAATTCCATCGAGAGCAAGGTAATCATAAAATAAAGAAAGGAATCGTTCGAGTGTACCAACGGCTCGTTAAAGTTTGCCCGGCAGCTCTGTTCTACGTCCACGATACTCGGAAAATCATCGTGTTCCCAAAGGTTCAATAAGAAACTGCCTTGAAGAACTAAAAGTTCTTACGGTAACTTTCAACGCGCAATGGTGCGATCTTCATAACTTTTCCATATCGTTGTATCGGTCTGCAAAGAAAAAACTGTCTGATTACTTATTTTCAGTTCCATCTCGATCCACTTACCGATCCCTTCGTCCATTTTCTTACGTCAAGTTTGGACAGGTCAAGCCAGATACGAAAATTCGTGTCGCAGGTTACTTACCCAACCAGCTCGACACCTTCTATTAGCGACGATAAATTCTCACGGCGAACTTTCTACACCCTAGATGACACGTTTTCCTTAGGCAGCGAACCGTACTATATCCTTGGGACTGCGGGTTCTTTCAAAGAGAAAATGGGACATCTATGTCCTCTTTGCATTATAAATAGCCGTTCTGCGTTACATTTTTCCTTTTTTATTTAAAACGCAGTCTTTATGGGGCTTTGAAATGCACGCTATACCACGCATGGTCACACGTTCTCATCCGAACGGCATATGTAAAGAATATGTTGCGAGACAACGCGTGATTATACTACACGTGGTGATGTAACTCGAGGCTACACTACGCACAGATATAGTGTGTGACGGTACAATGCGTGGTTGAACCAACTCGTAGTGATACAACGCGTAATCATTCGAGCACGTGGCAATACGATACGTAGCTACATCACGCATGGCAATACGATACAAGGCTATACACATAGTAACCTAACACGTAGTAATCTAACAGAAAGTTCAGCGCCTCTATACAATTGAGTCAGGAAATTGAGCTTCGATTAGAATTGACCTATTCGCAAAAGTTGTTAACCGCGATCTCAAATGAAATCTTCCAAAAATATAGTTGAAGCCGTAACCTTCGTTTTAGAACGCGTCGTCAAGTTGCTCGTAAACAGGACCTTTTCTGAAAATATTCTAGCCGTGCCAATCGGTCTCGACGAATTCGTGAGACGATCTGGCGTCTCGCACCGAGGTGGCTCGGACGTTGCCAGTTTACCGTGAACAATAAAATCGGCCGGGGATTGTTTTTATTTTTTTTTAAAGGCGGTTACGTGTATCGGGGTCACATCGATAGACGAGCCGCGTGAACGAGCCCGCGGTTTCACGCCAACGCGACGCGAACAAACGTTGTATTTTTAGTACGCTTTTGCAACCACCGCCCTACGCTCTCAGACACCTTGCTCTCGACGACTTTTTATCACGGTCCGATCGAAACCGCTTGGCCTGCAATCACAGCTTCGTTAGAAGGCCTTTATGCGCGATCCGTACCTTCGATTCACGCTGTCCCGAACGATTTTGCCCGCTTTTCTTCGGCCCTTTCATTCGGTTTGCTCCGATCGACCGTGTACTTCATACGTTTTATTTTCGTACACGATCGAATCTGCTTTGCAATTCGCGAACGAGGGAAATTAACGACGACGATTCAAACCGAATTTCCCTTATGTCGTGGAACTGCGGGGTTACAGCGGCAAATGAGCCCCTACCGGTCAAATTGAAATCTGCTAAAACTGCTTCGACTATTCGGGGCTATTTATTTTAGCGTATTGAACGCCACGCGAGTTTAATTCGAGCTGCATTTGGTCGAGAGGTTCAATTGAATCGATTATCTACGGGAGAGACGCAAAAAAGGCACTTTTGCTAAATATATCTCACCGTACACGTCAATTTTGTGGCATATTAAACAGGCTCTTTAATTTATAACCTAATGAAACTGTGATATATTAAAATTTGCGAACTATTAATAAATCATGCGACAAGATCCATAACCTATAAAATAAATAACATAACCATAAAACTATTTATATCAATCATAAACGAAAAAATGGTCTAATCTCGACGTAAACAATAATCATAAGGAAGTGATCGCATTCGGCCAGACGTCGTTCGTAGCAAACAGACGTGGATTTCCTGCGAGCAACCGGAAACTGGCCGAAGTATCGTAAAGTTGAGCTCTAAAATTCATTTTTCCCGAAAGTTGTGCCAAGAGTAATTTTACTTTTCCGCGCGTTTCTTTGCTCCATCGTTGCGAAAGTTTTCGATCGAGATATCCGCGACTCGAGGAGCAGCGGTTACCGAGGAGCGTCGAATTAATGGATAATTCGTGTTTATTCCGTTTCCAGGGATGCTCTCGAACATCGGACTGGTTGCTTGTTAAACTTCCGACACAAGAAATACCGACGTTATTCTTTTTTTCGACGAAACTCCGTTACGTTGGTTTAATTAATTGGAGGGTTCTCCGTATCGTGTCTGACTCGTGGCGAGCTTTACTACTTGCTGGCACGCAACCAACCTGTGTTTCGTCGTCGAACGATCGACGTCGAACGCTTCGCTGAGAAATTGAAGAACCGTCGCGACGGACGTTCTACTCCGATATTTCAATTAATTTTAATCTAATTGCCGGGAGATTTTAATTTTCAAACTTATCTCCTTTTTTAATCATGAGTCAAGTTCTCGAATCACGAAATTATACCCCATCATCGCGTAGCACCTAAATACGACCCATTATCATCGTTTAGTGTCCAATCACGCTCTATTATCAGCGCTCCATCGCGAACGCTTCGCTCTCGAGTACGCCCCATCGTCGACGGTAAATACTCGTCCACTCGATATCGCGTGCTTGATCGTCAAAGCTTAACCTTTCGTTGCCACTTGAATAATAAACGTAACGGTTTGTATCCTGCTGTTCTGATCTTTCATAGATGAATACAAATATTTGACAAACGCTTTGTCGTTCCCATATTAATGGAATCTATGTATCCGGAAATCCGGCGCGATCGAAGAGACGGTGGGAGGAAGCTCTCGAAGGATCCATTCGGGTCAGGCAGCCTGGGAAATCCTTTAAAGCTGAGAGATCTCGATGATTCCGTTTCAACGCCGACCTGTTTACCTTCTTCTTCGTAAGATCCGAATTCGAGTTCCTCCATTTCTTCACCTCCGAAAAATCCTTTCATGATCAATCATTTCCACCGTGCGCTTATGTGGATGATTTTTAAAGCAGATACACAAGTTTAATCGTTTCGTAGTATCGTAGGGGCGAACGTATCGAAGGTAATGTTTGTTGGATGCACGCGAACTCACGTTTCTTTCGTTTCGCTTCCTGGTTCGTGGAGGGTCAGCTTCGAACGTGTTTAATACGTGGAACGACGAGTGCTCGCTTTAATGTAGAGCCTTCTGGCGCGGCCGAACTTCCTGCCCTCTTCAATGATGAACGTACTCCTGCAGGATTAAGGTCGATTTACGTGATCGCAAAACTAATTTTATCTCTACCGAAGCAACTTGTCTCCGTACAATTATTATTTATAGTATCTACCGTTTGTCACACTTGACACGGTTATTTCTACTCTGGCAACATATTACACGAGCAATAATTAAAGTTCTTTAGGACTCGCTTCAACCGAGCATATCGTTTGAAGTATCCATTAGAAACCATTCGGTGACCGATGTATAAAGGTAGAATGACGATTAAACCCTCAAGTGTTTAACAAAGCAATCGTTAAGTTGGCCAAGTGTAGGAAAGTTG